TGGCCTGAGGATGGGGTTATCTGTAGGTTTTGCAGGCCTTTGCGGGTGAAAGTTATTGCCCGGGGCCGAGCTCCTCTCTCGCCGATTGGGCTGTGGCTATCGAAGCCAGTGTGACTTTTACTGATAAAGCTTCCGTCTTTTTGCATCGTCCATGGCTCTTGTACCATTACAACGTGCGCTCCTGCTTCCCATGCTTGTTGCAAGGCTATGTCCATATTTTCTCCACCCTTTCCCACGTTCACTTGGTGAAATAAAAGAGTGCTTTTGATTTCTGTGGGTGTGTTCGAGATTCGGTTCTCTAACATTAATCTTGCATAGAAGCTTCTGGGGCAGAGATGACTTCTACAGCCTTGCCCTTCCTCTCTCAATATGCTCGAGCGGCATTAAAGTCACGATGTCCACGCTCGCGGATGATGCGCAACTCTGATGGTGTGCGAGGTACAATAGTTCCTTGTTGGCGCCTGGGCTTAGCCATGCATTTAAGCTCATAGGAGTCATGAGGACCCGCGCAGTTGGAGCATTTAGGAATTTTGACCTGACACTCTGGAGTCTCGTGTACACCTGAAAAGCATCCACAGCGTTTGATTTTAGTGCAAATTTGTGTGGGGTGGAATTCCCAGCAGCGCTGGTATTGCTCAATGGAGCGCTGTTGCGTGTAAGGCATTGCCGGCCCACTTTCCTCGAACAGTCTAAACTTGAAGTTCGATGGTTTTTGGCGGAAATGTACAAGCCAACTGGTAGAATATTGTCCCAGCTTTGTCGGTGATTGGCGTACGAGAATTGGAACCGCGCCACAGACTGATTGGCACTCACTTATCACCATTTCATTGGTGACTGTAATACTCCCTTCCAGTGTCCGAATGAAAAGGGGCACGTGTGGTACTAACACTGATATCCATTCTGATGCTGCCTCAATGACAACGTTAACCTGTCGGAAAGATGAACCTGTACTGAGGATAGTTTCCATTAGTGCACCAGATGCGCACTAAAATGAGATACCCGAACGAGCCGGGTGCATTGTTATTGTTGTAATTTATGCGACAGTGGAGTTAAGAGTATACTGCATACCAGCTATATATTTAGCTGCGTGTGGATACTTGCTCTCGAAATCAGATTCCTTATAATATAAATATATATATATATATATATATATAAATGATTGTGTGTATTATAACTACAACTATTGATACTTATTTTCTTATTCTTACAGTTATCTACACACTTCACAATTACGGAAAGTGTGGAATTCTAAGCGAGACACGTGATACAATTACAGATTTATTGCATGACTCTCAACAGTTATGATAGCTGATGGTGCGACTCCTGCACGCTCAGTGATCATCTTCTTTATGGTGATCGGTAAGAGCCGATGCCATTCATGGTCTCTATCTAACCGTACGAAAAGGCGTTTATCGACCTTGGGATTCGATTTAGTTGATTGGTTTGTCTGTGAGACAGGTCTTCTTGGTAATGGGATAGCAGGTGGGTCAGGTAGCCTGGCTGCTTTTCGGGCCACTGTAACCCAGGGCGAAGTGTTCTCTGAAGGACTACCAGATAGAGCTCTACAGTGTGCGACAAGAGTACTTTTTGCCTTGTGTGTCATTGGTTTTGAAGAGATTGATGGGGGGTTCGGGACCTTACTAGTGGTCTCATAATTTTCCATTGAGCCAGTTGCAAAATGGGTCACGATGGGCGCGATGTTTGCAATTAAAGACGCCAGAATTGTTGACGCGTTTGTGTCCGCCTTGGTTTTAGCCCAGGTGTCGATAAGTTCTAGGAAATCTTGGGCAAGCCCAAATCTTTCCTTTCTTTCGTGTTCTGCCTTCTGCATTGCAGTCGCAATGCCTAGTAGGCTTGGATGGAGTTGCCCTACGGGATTGGAAGGCGTTGATGATGACGATGCAACAGCGGATGCCATTGCATCGGATGATGGGTCTTTTGGTGGGTGATTTTAATGCAATGATAAAGTGAAAAAATCCTCGAGTGAGTTGGTGTCGAGATATGTGTGGTACCTGTGTTTAGAAGAGTAGTCGAATTGACATCCTTTTATCCTTCATTATTGCATAAGCTTCCCTCTACCAATAAGTCCACGAACTAAGTAGTGGGTTATACATTTCAATATGCAGCCTTGATTACAGCTAAATCTAACAAAATCTCTGCAAGAAATCGTCACTTCCTAATGCGAGAATCAACCGTTCGTGAGGCCATACAAGACGGTACTATTAGGCTGGGGTATATACCAACGGACCTTTTTAAAGCAGATTGGCTTACTAAAGCGCTACAGCGTATAAAATACATTACATTCTGTGCTCAAATAAGACTTAATCTAAAGCATTAGATTCCTGAGGGGGTGTAGCAGAGAATACTGGATCACGTGATAATATGTACACAACTATTTAGTTAGGTAATCCACTTAGTGAAATCTTCATGCTTCTTCGCACATCAGTTGACATCTTCCAATAAAAACCTGCATGGACCTCATGGCGCCAAATTAGGACAATTAAATAATTTATTTATTCCTTATCTTGCGCCCGGACTCCGGCGTGGACAACATTACATAAGCATTACAATCTATTAAAGCCCCGTACTTACCCAAAGATTTGTCAACTAAGATCTTCATCGAGGCCTACTTGATAGTCCAAATTATTCTAGCCTCTAACAGTGGATGATGTATAAGGCTAGCTTCACAATAATGGTGTTAGGAGGCTGTGTTGAGGGATGAAGACGATTTATACCGCAAGAGCAACTAGGAATCTTCATCGATATGGTGAAGAAAGAGTTACTCGACGTTGGCTCTACAGTCTCTACAGTGAAAGCTGGAGGTTTGTAGGGGATGCCACCAATAGTTGTTGGATTTTCGTCTCTTTTTCACAGGCAAATTCCGATGGTTTATTGTAAACAGCAACACCTCATGGTGATATTTATAAATGAAATGTAGAGAACAATTTTTTTTGAATTGAAAAGATTTATCTAATGTCTACATAAGGCACTGATCATGAGTCATATGCTGATATCTGAATATAAATATAATAGAATGGAAAGTTAGCCCAAAGCAGCTTGTCAATGCAAATTCGATGTGAGCTTGTCGGACTTAACTCGCATTTACAAAGAATAGAAGATCGCGTTGCCAACTGTCCTAGCTGCCCATCTAACCATCGATAATATGATCCTGAGCATATAACGATATCCTGTTCTCAATAGCTTAAGGTCAGGGGGCTGATTAGGAGAAGAGTCTGAGATTAGTCTTTGGAAGCCATATTAAACAAGTCATGGGACATCAGGCGAATTAAGTGGCTGACTCTATATAATAATAAGACAGAGCAAACGCGGATGTCTACAGAGCTCGAAATAATTTAAATGAGAGACACAATACGCTCAAACATTGGGGTCAGCTAGGATAGACTGATGGCAATAATGGAACTACAGTGCAACTGCACTTCCTGTAGAATGATTGACCGACTGAAATGGAGGATGAAAACTCAACACCTGTCAAAGCTGTCCCCTGTAAGCCTATGGATATCATTGTAATGTCTCAAGAACGAGATTTTTTAAAGTTATTAAAACTTTGAGTCGAGTCATCTACCTTTCCTTCAAAGATACGCTTCCGGTAACACAAAAGAAGATATCGACAATAACGACACTGGAAAGGACGAAAGGTAATGCAGTATCAAACATAATTAGGGTAGTTGGAGAACTCCTCGTCGAATCACAACATATGCTACCTATCTGTGGGTAAACAAAAAGCGTACAAAAGCCTAAAAAAGACCCTTCTACCCCCAAGAAAAGAAGATTTCGACTTGTCAGCAAAATCATCTTTGTACATCCTTGCTATTGGTAATTCTGGTCTGAAAGAATTCCATAATGATATTGCTCTTTAAATTCAGTATAAAGTGATCATATTTGTGAATCGATCGTGTAAGAATTTGAAAGATACTTCGCATTCTCTAGAATCTGGATTTACTAGAGAGATAGTCTAATCGGGATTGTAAGTTTGAACCTAAGCAAATTACAACCAGATTAAAACCTTTACATCACCGCATCTTACTCACATTGTCTTCTTCGAAAGCTTGAATATGAGTAAAAATCTTTGAAATAGTCACAAAAAATATCCAAACTGCGCTTCATGGTGCGTCTCATCAACTAAAATGCATGTATGTTCATGCTTACTATCCATTGCTTAGCCAAAAGCCATGATGAATGTAAAGGGATGCAAAATCTGAGGTTAAGGTGCTTTTGGCTTGTATTTAGAAGGAATCTAGACGTGTTCTGTAGTCATAGATTCGTTTAGACAATTAAGCCTCCGTCCCATATCACATCATTAATCAAAGTTATCCTCTAGCTCAATTAGCAGGGTTTGGTTTACATTTTTGTCCCAAAAGCCAAATATTTGTTCATAAACTAGGACCTAGATCATCTTACTTTCGCCGTGTAGAGATATTTGGTTACGACACCTGATTCTCTCCACGTTATTGCATTTATAAAGTGTTGTGTTATACAGGTGTAAGCCTGAATCCCAATGAGTTAGCTTTGACCACATGCCTCCCTTTGTAATTTGCTCCTTGCCACTGATGATTTCGGGAAGAGTTCCCAATTCGGCTAGGATAAACCAATTTGTTCCCCCCGATGGGGCAGAACTACACTCCCCAACTACACGTGCGCAATAAATAACTAAGGACAGCGTTGCAAAACCATTGGAGCTGCGAAATCTTGTCGGAATCTCCGTCATCTCCTATCAACGATTGAACGGCCAATAAAAATAGAAAATATGACCACGATGTTATGAAAGATTCCATCGCCTAATCAGCTACAACAAAATTTAAGGCCCTGAGATAAAACTCATTGCGGCTCGACAAAGGCCAACTTCACTTGACGCAACTTTTGCAGCCCCATCCACAAACATCCAGTGCAGAATAAATAACCTTTAGGACGCTATCTAGACAAAAGCTCCATAAAGCTCTGTAATAATTCTACAAAACCTAATACTTACAATCGACAGAAACATGTCTGCACCGCAATATTCTCATCCAGATCAGGGATACCCGGCCGAAGATGTCCCGGAAACATTTGGGACCAACTTGACATCTACGAATGCAGCTGGACAACCAGAACAAGAGGGTGGGAAAAAGAAAAAAAGGGGATACGCAGCTCAAGCTTACGATTTTGGAGCCGGAGCTAATTCATCACTTGGTGGACAAACTCAAGGTGGTGTTCAATTTCAACAGCAAGCTCCTGTCTATGATAGATACCCGATTCAGGGAGAGCCACAACCTCCGTATGGTGCCTCTCAGTATGGCGCGCAAGTGGGGCAGACTGGTTTAACATCTGCATCACCTGGGAACGTTCACACGGCCCCATACGCTAACGTGGGATACAATCCACCAAATGATCCAGGCTATTCAGGTGCTACTGCTCCGGCTGCAGCTGATATTTCTGGAATCACTCAAGGAATGGGCCAAATGGGAATGGCCGATATGAGCGGAGCACCTCCCCCAGGTATACAGCAAATGCCACCACAGGCTACTGCTCGACCGGTAGCTTTGAATCAATTATATCCTTCAGACTTGCTAAGCCAACCATTTAATGTTGCAGAACTTGATTTACCGCCGCCTTCTATTATTCTTCCTCCTAATGTAAGGCAACTTCACATAGAGATAATACACATGCTAACCTATCGATAGTCAAGTGTCACCTCATCTCTCAATTCGAATTGTCCTCATAAATATGTCAGGTCAACACTAAATGCCGTACCAACGACACAGTCGCTTTTAAAAAAGTCGAAGCTACCATTTGCTCTAGTCATTCAGCCATACACATCATTACACGACGTGGATGATCCTGTTCCTATTGTCCAAGATCAAGTAATATCTCGTTGCCGAAGGTGCCGATCCTACATAAACCCGTTTGTTACTTTCTTAGACCATGGTCATAGGTGGAGGTGTAGTATGTGTAATCTCACCAATGATGTTCCCCAAGCCTTTGATTGGGATGCCTCTGCACAAAAGTCTATCGACAGATGGCAAAGACCCGAACTAAATCACGCAGTAGTAGAATTTGTCGCACCACAAGAATATATGGTTCGGCCTCCACAACCATTGGTATACCTATTTTTATTTGACATAAGCTTTGCCTCTATTTCATCAGGACTTCTGGCTACAAGTGCGAGGACTATACTTGACAGTCTCAGTAGAATACCTAACGCAGATCGGCGGACTCGCGTTGGTTTCATAGCAGTAGATTCCAGCTTACACTACTTCGCCATTCCAAAAGATTCTGAAGAGAGTAGCGAACCTCAAATGTTAGTTGTAAGCGACTTAGATGAGCCCTTTTTGCCAGTACCTCAGGAGCTACTAGCTCCCTTATCCGAAAGTCGGAACAACATCGAAAACTTTTTAGTTTCTCTTCAGTCAATGTTTCAAACAAATCAAAACAGTGGCTCTTGTATGGGCTCAGCCCTAAGAGCTGGGCACAAGCTTATATCGCCACTTGGAGGTAAAATAGTCGTTATTTCTGCTTCTCTTCCTAACATGGGATACGGGAAGCTTGATATGCGCGAAGACAAAAAACTTCTCGGTACATCGAAGGAAAGCAGTCTCTTACAAACAGGAAATAGCTTTTACAAAAGTTTTGCTGTTGAGTGTTCTAAAAACCAAGTCTCAATTGACATGTTTCTCTTTTCCTCTCAGTACCAAGATGTGGCTTCTCTTAGCAATCTTCCACGATATACTGGCGGACAAACCTACTTTTACCCTGGCTGGAATGCCGGAAGGAGTGAAGACGCTATAAAGTTCGCCTCTGAATTCAGTGATTACTTATCAGCTGAAATTGGGTTGGAAGCAGTACTTCGCGTTCGTGCTACGACCGGTCTAAGAATGAGTACCTTCTACGGCAATTTCTTTAATCGTAGTTCAGACTTATGCGCATTTCCTGCATTTCCCAGGGATCAGAGCTATGTGGTCGAGGTCGCTATCGATGAAAGTATGACAAAAGCGTTTGTGTGCATGCAGACAGCTGTCCTTCACACAACAAGTAATGGCGAACGACGTATCCGTGTCATGACTTTAGCTCTACCAACTACAACTAGTATCGCAGATGTCTTTGCATCAGCTGACCAATGCGCAATTACCACTTTCTTTAGTCACAAAGCTGTCGAAAGAGCCTTAAGCAGTGGTCTCGAACCGGCAAGAGAGGCTCTCCAGTCCAAGTTAATCGAACTTCTCCAGACCTTTAAGAAAGAGGTCGCAGGAGGAAATATGGGCGGAGGGGGCCTACAGTTCCCGGCAAACTTACGTGGTCTCCCAGCGCTCTTTCTCGGGTTAATTAAGAACGTTGGAATTCGGAAATCAGCTCAAATACCTTCTGATCTTCGGTCTGCATCTCTTTGCCAACTGTCAACCCTGCCTCTTCGCCTACTTATACAATACATCTATCCCAGGTTATATTCATTACATGATATGCCTGATAATGCTGGTTTCACTGATCCTGAGACCAGCCAGATTGTTCTACCACCTCCTTGCAATCTTTCCTCAGAACGTCTGGTATCTTACGGTCTTTATCTAATCGACGATGGACAAACTCAGTTTCTATGGGTTGGCAGAGACGCTGTACCTCAACTTCTGGCTGATGTTTTTGGCGTCACTGATCGAACCAAGCTTAAGATAGGCAAAAGCAGTTTACCAGAGCTCGAGAATGACTTCAATGAGCGTGTGCGGGCAATATTTCACAAGAGTCGAGATCATCGGTCAAGAAATGTTGGGAGCATCATTTACCCACACTTGTATGTTGTAAAGGAGGATGGAGATCCTAGCTTGAAGCTATGGGCACAAACGCTTCTAGTAGAAGACAGAGCAGACCAGGGAATGAGCTACCAACAGTGGCTAGGAATATTGAGAGAGAAGGTAAGATCGCCTTCCATACCTACTAAACGTTCTAAAGCAGATAAACTGACTAAGATTGTAGCTTGTGCAGTAACGATAAGCTGGCTGATGCCTCAGTAAACTTTGTGTCATAGCAGATTGACGGCCGAGTAGATGGACCGCAAATTTGCAGTTGACTTTATTTTCGTTTGAGCTAGACCACTGTCTTCTCTATTTCATACTTCTAGCCTAAAGTCTCGTCGAGCACACTAAATGGTTAAGCTAGATTTGATATCTTGATGACAGAGTGAGCAACACCCAAAGAGTTCTCAAATAGTGAGAGATGTTCAAGGTTTAATTTATGGGCTGGATGTGATTCTCAGTCGTTGCGACGGTCCACGCAATCCAGACATCAATTGGTATGTTTTGGTACGCAGAATTAGCAAGGTATGCTCTAGCATAGAAGCTGAAAATGGAAGCTTTCTACTTATAATCCAATTGGTAATACGTATGTTGCATGAACGATCGATCCAAATATGGGAGTCAGTGACATGGCTAGTCCCAGATGAGTCGTAGGGAAGCAGGCATCGAATGTAACGTATACACCCGCGCCTGTAGGTGCTATAAGCTTTCGTAGCCTTTTGTGCTGTGTGACCAACATGAATCTATATGGGAAACCATTGCAAGCAGCTATTAGAGGCCTCTTTGCCTACACAGCATCGCTAGTACGGGCGGACATGTGAGGCGAAAGCCCAACAAGGACCTCGAATGCACGGACCTGAAGATGCGGCGGAGAGGGCAGGTAATCGCCTGGGTATGAATAGGGAAATGGGTGGAAAATTAAGAGGCTTGAAACTTGAAATCAAGATAGATTGACACGGTGAGTGTAAGAGAGTAGGTTAACAGTAGAATAATACCGGAACGAAGCTACACAATTAGTTGCTACTCATGCCTCAGGCCCGAGCCTTACGGCAAAACCTAAAGGCCGGCATTGTCTGTATCATATACCGCTTTCCTCTGATCGCCCCGCGTATCAGATTAGGCGAGTTCCACATAAAGAGTTGAGGTAGCTTTTATCAAAGTTCTAGAGTACCGGATGTCAATTGAGCTCCACAGCGAGCAAAGGCCTCGCAGCCCTTGTTAAGCAGTATCCTCTGAAAATGTTATGATATTACGTCTCCATTCATTTCGTACACATTTAATCTAGCTGGCCTCAGCTTTGTTTGAGGTCTGGTTTCCCCAAGCGTTGACCAGACTAGTCCATCAGATTCGGAACGCGACTACGGAAGTTGCAGCTTAGTGGAGGTAGTGCCTGCTCTGCTACTACAAATGCTCGAGGGACCGAGCGCAACTGCTGCAGGTGGCTGACAGGCGAAACTTGGACTCTAGGGGTTTAAGCTGAGGACAACAACGACAATTCATAACCGCAAAGTTCAATCCAGAATAGCTGCGAACTCCATCGACTTGAGCTATTTCTTAAACATCCGCATCCTTTGCTCGTAGGCTGCTTGTGAGAGACGAAACATCTTGCGCCATCATTGCTATTGCTGCAACTGTCTGCTGTCCACATCTCTCGCCACTCGTCTCTGCTTTGACATCTCCTACCCCGAGACCTTTCTCATTCAATAGTAATAGCTTTAGGTCTCTTTAACAACATCCCCTTACTACTACCGGTCATCTATCAGCTTGAAAGCTGCATCTATCTAATATTCAAGACTTGCAAGCGAATACCAGAGCTGTGTTTTTCCTAATTTCACCGACCCCGCCTCTTTAGATAGGTACAGCTTCCATACACGCTTTCAGATCGTTAAAGGCACTTTCAAAATGTCGACCCGTGCCCCTAATCCTACGACAGGATCGCGTAAGATCTCATTCAACGTAAGTGAGCAGTATGATATTCAAGATGTTGTGGGAGAGGGTGCCTATGGTGTTGTCTGGTGAGTCTCACTCAGCCTGAATACCCCACCATCCAAAGACGTAATTGTCACAACATGCTGCTCAACTGTTTCCTGACATCAATATTTATTTACACTACCCTCAAATTTTGAAGAAATGTTCTTTTAATTCTCATTTCTACAGCTCGGCTCTTCACAAGCCCACAGGACAAAAGGTTGCTATCAAAAAAATTACTCCATTCGACCATTCTATGTTCTGTCTGAGAACATTGCGAGAGATGAAGCTGCTTCGATACTTCAATCATGAAAATATCATCTCAATTTTGGATATTCAAAAGCCTCGCAGCTTTGACTCTTTCACCGAGGTTTACTTGATTCAGGTAAATATTAATATTAAATACAATCTCAAGAAATCCCCTGCTTGTCCTTATCACATATAGTAGGAGACGACTAATAACAGTCTACAGGAGCTTATGGAAACCGACATGCACAGAGTAATTCGCACTCAAGATCTCTCAGATGATCATTGTCAGTATTTTATATACCAGACTCTTCGTGCACTTAAAGCTATGCATTCTGCCAACGTCTTACACCGCGATCTTAAGCCCTCCAACCTTCTCCTAAATGCCAACTGCGACCTTAAAGTTTGCGATTTTGGACTAGCTCGATCTGCTGCCTCACAAGAGGATAATTCTGGATTCATGACTGAATATGTGGCGACTCGCTGGTATCGTGCGCCTGAAATCATGTTGACATTTAAAGAATATACAAAAGCAATCGATGTATGGTCTGTTGGGTGTATCTTGGCAGAGATGCTGAGTGGAAAACCTTTGTTCCCGGGAAAAGATTGTACGTTTCACAAACATATACCTACATACACATATTTATTGCGTACATCTCTCTAACATGATGAAGACCATCACCAATTAACACTAATCCTTGATGTTCTCGGCACCCCCACTATGGAGGACTATTACGGCATCAAATCTCGTCGTGCTCGCGAATATATTCGATCCCTTCCATTCAAGAAGAAGATTCCCTTCAAACAAATGTTCCCAAAAACATCTGATTTAGCACTTGATCTACTAGAAAAATTATTAGCCTTCAATCCAGTCAAGAGAATAACTGTTGACGAGGCTCTTCAACATCCGTACTTAGAACCTTATCATGACCCCGAGGATGAGCCAACTGCCGATCCCATTCCCGAGGAATTCTTCGACTTTGACAAAAATAAGGACAATTTGAGCAAAGAACAGTTAAAAGAATTAATCTTTCAGGAAATTATGCGGTAGTACCGTTATGAGCAGGTTCAGCGTGGCTATGTAATTTGCTGTGTGTGTATCAAGGACCCGATTAATTCCCAGTCTCACAGTTAGCTCGTTACATGTACACTCGCACACATACAAAGGGTAACTGACATATAAAGTTGGGATTTAGGATTCAAGTCAGGACTAATGAATAATACTGTATCAAGGAGCCTGTATGTTCAAGTTAGTTCGCGTGGAATTACATGTAATTGTGGACGCGGTTAAGCGATTCAACATGAATCTTGGGATAGAACCAACAAGGGAAATTCCTCGAAATTTATTTAGCAGCACTAATAGCAGGGGGTACTATTACTTTTGCTGTAGATTTTGATTCGCTAAATTTGGCCATCCCTGAAGCCCCCCTTAGATTCCTTTCTCTACTCACTGTTGGCGCCCTGATACATTCTCAACTTCTTGAGCAACTGTTCTCAAGCCTTGGAGAGAGCTCCTTAGCCTATCTTCTCTTTGAATTCTCCATTCTCTGTCCATCGTTTCTATTTTACCGCCGATGATACCTATAGTGGTTGGCTCTAACAGTAACACACCTCTCGCGACTTTACAGCCTTTTCGTAACCATAACTTACAGCCTATGCTCATTGTAGATGGGTATCCAATATTATTTGTCATTTTTATCTCATAAGCTAATGCTCTCTTGCCCTTAGAATCTTGTAGAATCAGTCTGAAAGGACCCTTTTCTTTTTTTTGGTCGGCTGTCGGACGATCTAGAGACTGGGTGGCGGCCGTGGCAGGTTCCTGTTCAACATCCGGCACAATGCGAATTATTTCGCGGCCTTTCTTAGTCTCCCCCTTGCGTTCAGCTTCGAGCAAATCGATCTGGTCCCCTGTAGAGCGACCAATGTCATGTAAGTCGAGAACTTGTACAAAGACATCATGGTGCAGCATACTGGTCTTGACATGGCGATCGCCAAGGTTGGAAGGCAAACCTGGACAAGTGGTGGCCAAGACGGGGGATGTATGGCCGCTAATATCAGACGAGAGAAGTCGGTGCTTGACGGTAGCCACCAAGGCTACAATCGGCTGTGAGCGAGAAGAGCTGGCGAGTATGGCAGTCAAGAAGTCATGATGCAAGACGGGTAGCGACTGAGAAGCCAGCAGAGGAATGAGTTGGCTGAGCGAAGGTGTTGTTGCCATGGGGTGGGAACTGGGACACATGGTGCGTGCTACGGATCAGGCAGGTCGTTTGGGTAGTTCACTAGTGTCTCGCCGAGACTCTGAGGCTCGCGCGTTCCCTCCGGGGGGCTAGCAGCTAGTTCGGTGGCAGAGACGACATCTCCCATCTTCTCTTCACACCATGTCCACCATCGCTGCACCTCGCAAACCCTCTCAGCCCGTTGGCCGTGGACCCGTCAGCTCAACGCCGAGCTCGTCGTCGCGGCCATCGCTCGACGACACCAGTGGCCAACTACTGCCGACGCGCCATCGGGCCGCCCTGCGTGAATATTACAATCTCCAGACCACGCCAGCTCCTAGCTCCGACGACGCGCCCGTCGCGCCCAGCGAACTCGATGCGGCCGACTTCGACGCCGATGCCTTTGTGCAGCGCGTACTCGCTCACCAGAGCCTTAGCGAAGTGCTCGCCACCTACGAACGACTGCTTGCCGAGCTGCGGGCCCTCGACGCCGAGCGTAAGGCGCTCGTCTATGACAACTACAGCAAGCTCATAGCCGCCACTGATACTATACGTCGTATGCGCGAAAGTATGGCCGCCCGAACCCCCGTCGCCGGCACTCTTGATGTTGTCATCGAGCGCATCTCCGTCAAAGCCGAACGTCTACGCTCGCACGTACAGGAAACCGTTGCGAGCCCAACACCCACATTAGCCTCAGCCTCGACCGCGCGGCGTATGGTAAGAGAGGTAGTCCAGCAGTTACTAGAGACGCCAGAGCGCCTAAGATGTTTGCGTGAGGACGGCAAGCTGGACGAAGCCAGCGAGATTTGGGAGCGGGCCCGGAAGATTTTGGAACGATGGCGGGAGAGAGACATCGGCGGTCCGGATGTACTAGATTGTATCGAGGACGGAGACGCGGCTCTACGTGGAGAACCACCAAACGAGAAGAGTTGGGCCAGAATCAACCACAATCGTGTCACGATATAGTCAAGACGCTCTTATAAAATTTTCATTTTGTGCCCAGCTACTATCACTCCAACGGATCCAGATTTACTTCCAATCCTTGTCCTCCAACCTAACTATTTCATAGGGGTCTCTATCCACCATGCTAGCAAAAACAACTATATCTTGGAGTGGATCGACAGGTGGAACAATCAGCTCTAATTCCTGTAAGATACCGTCAAGTAATCGATCCTTTAGCCTTCTCTCCAGGAATCTTCTCTCCGTGTTGCTGTGTCCCGCCGTGATAACAGCCCTGTTTGCTTCAATAGCAGCGAGCGCTTCATGGTGACTAAGCTCTCCAGTGAACAGAAGGTCCACTTCTAACCCGTTCAGAATCGAGCCTCCTGAGCCAGCACAGATACCAACAGTTGTGATGGGGATTTGAGACTTGAGGCTAGGAGGAGTTGATTGGGGCACTGCCACGCTTAAGCCATTCTGGGCCTTTAGTCCCTTTGTGATCCGCTTAACGATAGCGCCAAGTGCTTGTGGGGTGTCGAAGTGGACGATTCTCCCGTAGCCAGCACCCTCGAAACCAGGCGGCGGCGCATTTTTGATTGGTTTGATTATAGTCCTTGTAGATGGGGATGTTACACTATAATTTCTTGAGTATGAGTCGTAGGAAGCGGAGTGACTAATAAGCCTCTCTCAAACTCTACTTACACCTCGGTTTCTTCGCCCGTGACAATATCGGCCAGCCAGTCATTTAGACCTCCGGGTGCCGCATCTACTGCAGTGTGTGGGCTGTAGACACTAATTCCTTCCTGAACGAGCCGAAGAATGGTTTTTTGTTGGGTATCCTGCAATGACAGTGCCTTCAGCGGACGGAAGATAATAGGATCTTGTACATAGGTAAGTCTGACGGCGGAAAAATTAAACCAGACATCTCGATCGTCTTACGGTATGCAACAATCAGAGAAGATCTTCTATTAATCGCTTCGTCTGCGACAGCACTCGTTAGGTCAGTGGTGAGCAGTACAGACTTTCGGCAGATTATAGGACGATCCGGAGCTTCAACGAGCACTTGTAGAAATTTTGTTAGCATCCTAGTTCAGCGTGAACTCAGCAGCTATTTATGGCGTACATCCGGTATTGTCAAAACTACTATCGGCAAGCTGCTCAGGGTATCTAGACATTGTTAAACCATGGATGCAACAAAACACTCCTCACAGTATGGAGCTAGAAAAAACTTACAATTTTCTCAGTGCTGCCACGGCGACCTGCGTGAAATGATAAGGTTCCATTGAAAGTCGAGAAGTAACCTTCATGTCTTTCTCCTTCGCTATTTTTAACGTACTAAAATGCTACGCGCCTCATAGCCTTGCCATTTATTAGTGCCTGTTGCTATTATCCTAACTAGCGGCCGCTGAGCGACCAATGCTTAATGCGATGATTTCGACCTCAAGGGAAGGTTATCGAGAAATTCTATTAATCACAATGGAGCCGACATCAGTTTCAATTGAGTCTCTCCAAAGTAAGATCACAACTGGTCTTCAAGCTACGCATACAGAAATCGTGGACATGTCAGGTATATTTCTAGTCTCATCCAATTCACTCGCTGCTGATTTCCATCCACTACCACTTCACACATACTAACCTGCATCACGACGAAAAGACGGTTGCGGCCAAGCATATTCGGCTACGATTATATCACCCTTGTTTGAAAAGAAAACTATGTTAGCACGTCATCGATTAGTCAACACACTATTGAAGGTTGAAATCGCCGCAATTCATGCTTGGACAGTTAAATGCTACACACCATCGGAGTGGAAAACGTTCACGCAGTAATGCAGCAGCGTCTATAATTAAGTTGGATTAAGGTATGAACCAAATACAAAGAAGACCGAGCACGCCCTGAGGCAAGAAAGCAGGTGTCCTTTTATTGTGGCTCATAAATACTCGTAAATTAACCAAGATCGAACAAATTGCCTTGGTAATAATGCAAGGTGTAAACTATTCACTCGAACTCCTCCCTAGAAATGTTAGATTGATGGATTTAACTACAAGGTATCGGAGGAATTTATGACTACCAAAATTTTCTAATGGGCCGTATTGGAGACCTACATTTCTAAATTAGATGATTCTTGAATCTATTAGCATACATCAAGCTAAGCAGTTGTTCGCCTTGTTAGCGTGTTGAGCAATCAGACTGAACACTGCTACCGAAGATATAAATAACACGATATTGTAGAACTAATTTCGATGAGCCCTAATCTATAGATGATGTGTGATATTGCTTGCCGCAGTTCTTGAATATGCGCTCTCTTCTGCTTCCGTACGAGCTTCTACAAAGAGCCGCCTAAGGTTTGGAAGATTTGCCTGGTGAAAGTCAAACCGTGTAAATGACAGGTTGGAGAATATGTGGACAGAAGCACAAGATGAATGCGATTTGTGACAAGGACAGTGGAATAATAGATGGATAACTGACCATTGAGATCAGAATCTGTTGTTAGAGAAAGCTGACCGCGCAATTCTAATGAGGCTAGAGCTCGTCACACATGAGCCGTTATTCGCTTCACTGTTGTTTTCCAAACTGTGTCACCTCTAAGCGTGATGAGATGCTAACTATCCCCCCTACATTCTATCTTATCTCATAATCCACAACAAAAACTTTTAGCACCCTGGTGCGTAAATGAACGGAAATCATTTAACCGGCCGTTGGTGTGAGTGATGGCAGTGAACAAGATCAAAGGGGCCTTCGCGGTACCCAGGAAAGGCGAAACCTTTGAGCTACGAGCAGGCCTTGTCTCTCAATATGCGTACGAGCGCAAGGAGGCTATTCAGAAGACCATCATGTCAATGACTTTAGGCAAAGACGTGTCTGCTTTGTTCCCTGATGTCTTAAAAAATATTGCGACAGGAGATTTGGACCAGAAGAAACTTGTCTACTTATATCTCATGTACGTAATTCTCCTTGCCTATTCGCATCTCTGACCCAGACAAAATAGGAATTACGCAAAATCTCATCCAGACTTATGTATACTGGCGGTCAACACATTTGTTCAGGATTCTGAAGATCCGAATCCACTGGTTCGTGCACTAGCAATACGGACTATGGGTTGTATTCGAGTCGATAAGATGGTAGATTACATGGAAGAACCTTTGCGCAAAACACTCCGAGATGAATCACCGTATGTAAGAAAGACAGCTGCTATTTGTGTGGCCAAACTTTTTGACCTGAATTCTACTATGTGTCTAGAGAACGGATTCCTCGAGACTCTACAAGAAATGATTGGAGACCCAAACCCAATGGTGGTCGCAAATTCCGTCACGGCATTAATCGAGATAAATGAAGCAGCACCGGCGACAAAAGCGTTGCAAGTTACCCCAGCCTCTCTGAAAAAAATGCTTATGGCCTTGAATGAATGTACTGAATGGGGACGAGTCACTATACTCTCTACCTTAGCAAATTATAAAGCTCGAGACTTAAAGGAGTCGGAACATATTTGTGAGCGGGTTTCTCCTCAATTTCAACACGTAAATGCGAGTGTGGTCCTAGCCGCTGTCAAGGTTGTGTTTCTACACATGAAGAACATTAACCCAGAGCTAAATAAGCAATACTTGAAAAAAATGGCACCTCCTTTAGGTAAGCTACTCAGTCTTAGGCTGATGCACGACTTATTGTGAACAGTCACTCTTGTGGCGTCGGCCCCTGAAGTTCAATACGTCGCTCTTCGTAACATAGACCTTTTGCTCCAGGCGATGCCGGATATTTTAGCCAAAGAACTTCGTGTATTTTTCTGCAAGTACAACGACCCTCCGTATGTCAAACTAGAAAAAGTCGAAATCATGGTGCGGATAGCGAATGACAAGAATGTTCATCAGCTTCTAGCTGAGCTAAAAGAGTATGCATTAGAGGTAGATATGGATTTTGTGCGAAGGGCTGTAAAAGCTATTGGCCAGGTAGCTATTAAAATAGAGAGCGCTAGCGAGAGGTGTGTCAATACCCTTCTTGACTTGATTGCGACCAAAGTCAGCTACGTCGTTCAAGAAGCAGTCGTTGTTATCAAGGATATCTTCCGTAAGTATCCTGGATATGAAGGTATCATCCCTACTCTATGTAAGTACATCGATGAACTCGATGAACCGAACGCTCGGAGCGCTCTGATTTGGATTGTCGGTGAGTATGCAGAGAAGATAAGTAACGCGGACGACATCCTTGCAAGCTTTGTCGAGGGTTTTATGGAAGAGTTTACCCAGACACAACTTCAAATATTAACTGCAGTCGTCAAACTCTTTCTCAAAAAGCCGGACGGTAACCAGGCTCTCGTTCAAAGCGTTCTGCAATCTGCTACTGCCGATAACGATAATCCTGACATCAGAGATAGAGCTTATGTATATTGGAGGTTACTCTCTGGAGATCTCCAGGTTGCAAAGGTACTTATTTTAATTCTCAAAGATTGGGTGCCTATCGTTCAGGACTAACATGAATAGAATGTGATTCTCGCTAATAAACCGCCTATAACAACTACGGTATCTTCTATTCCTCCAGCTCTCCTCGAACAGCTACTGACCGAGATTTCAACCTTGGCCTCTGTCTACCACAAGCCGCCGGAGACATTTATCGGCCAAGGTCGATATGGAGCTGATGCTATTCAACACGCCGCTATCCAAGAACAACGAGAGAACGCTGTTGAAAACCCAATTGCAGCCAGTACGGTTGTCTCTTCTCAAAATAATGCAGACAATCTCCTGGACATTGACTTTGATGGTACGGTACCAGTATCTCCGGGGATTCCCGTTAGTGCCAATAGATTCAAAGCAGAGGCGCTGGCAGTAACTACTAAGGGTCTCAGTATCCCAAAGTCAGAGGCCGCACCAGCCAGCAGTGGCTTGAACGATATGATGGGGCTTTTTGACTTAAATGTCCACAGCCCCCCTGATACCAATGCTCCTATGTCTAGTGTAGGTCTAGGTGATTTGTCACATGGATTCAGTGGGCTAGAGCTAGGGGGTCAGACTGTGCCTCAACAAGGTGGGGCAGAGTCCAAAACAGGCAATGATGATCTGCTTGGTATTTTTTAGGGAATGAAGCAGTTTGAGCATTCCAACCTGACGCTGAGGGATATATATTAAGATCCTAGATTTAATGCTCAAGCTAGTCTAGGCATACGGATACCCGGTACGACGTAGTCATTTCCACTGTGATAATCTTATCTGGCGTACCCTTGCGCTCACCGCCTGATGCCCATATATCTTTGCTCGGACATAAAGGAAGTACAAGTCGATGAGCTCGGTTACTCATCGCTGTCTTCCGCACTTAACCAGTCTAAGGCCGGGCGTACTCGACGTCTCTGAGGAACTGGCAGAGATTCATCAGCGGAGCTAGGATCCTGCGTAACAACTTGTGACATTTCTTTAACTGTCTCCTCGCAGCCTTTGGTGGAATGGTCTTTGCCAGCTTTGCGGGTTTTGGGAAGTCCCCAAGCCCTATTCCCTTCTTGAACTTCTTCAAGGTCGGCCTGGAGTTCTCGAGCCTCCTTGATCTGCTTGGCCTTGGCCTCGCTGAAGCGGCCCGTCATGCCAATATCGCGCAGGACTTGTTGCAAGTGTCGGATTTTGGCAGATCGGTCGTCTCCATACTTCTTGAGTTTAATAGACCATATAGTATGGAGTCCACACTTGCGCAGTTGGGTTTGGAGGGTGGTGAGGGTCGCGTCGGCCGTGCGTGTACTTGCTGCGCCGGTGCGTCGACGGGGCTTGGCCGAGCTAGACGTGTCGCGCGCGCGTTCGGGTGACGGGAAAACGACGGGGACAGGATCTGAGGCCTCGCGGACCGGCGAGCATGGTGTCGGTGATCTCGTCACTTCGGCCCTGAGTAATTCTTGCTAGAGCCCAGATTTATCAGCCGCCAGCCTGGACAAGATAGGGGAGGTATGTTACCACGCGCGATTCGATGGTACTTTTTGCTCTTAGCTTCCAGTCGCTCTGCGAAAGACGGCCGGATGTGAGATCTAAGCTAGCTTCGACCTGGCTCCGTATACGCCTGACGGTTAGCAGGTCGCGCTGTGGTCCGCGAAATTCTCTATCCACGGCCTGGCTCAATTCGGCCACAATTGTCTCATCAGAAGGAATCATATTGCAGTGAGCCGTCTAGCTTGCACAACAGCGCGACAGATGGCAAGCATAAAGCTTGACGCGAGGTCGTGACACCCCCAGTTTCTACCCACGTGATCGTAAGGTTTGACCCTCCAATTAGGTTCTCGAGTTGTAGACCATCTCAAACTATTCTCGCACATTATTCCCTTGGCTAGGTATCTAGCTTGACGTGCAGGCCTCCAGCTGTGATTTTTAGAAGCAATGCTGATGTGGAATTGATGTTACAACCTAAGGTATGTAATGGCTGCTTCTCATGAACTCTTGATCTAAATCTACGTCGGTAGGGGTAAATGCAAGTATCTGAGTTAGGTTTAGCTCATTTTAGACAAATCGAGACGAGTACATAATCTCGTGCCTCGTATTTTTTGTTGGCGGTGATCAGCGAAAGGTGAATTTCATCTTTCTCTCCAATAAGCCCGCGTACCGAGAGGACGAAGGCTGAACACCTGTTAGTGTTGCCCTGTACGAACTTGGGAGTGAAATATTCTCCTGGAGCCGAGATGAATTTTATCTGATGGATTTTTGACTTGAAGGAGTTACACTTGATATTTTGGTCGAAAAATCGGTCGGCAGAAATTTCACTGCCGGAACAAAGTTGAACAAAAACTCATCACCAGTAACATACGATTCACGAATGGATTTAGGTCTGTTTGGGGGTCGTATTAAAACATCCGACATCTCTCATACTCCCCATATATTTGCTAATAAGCATTTCTCTGTCGATCCTATATCTGCGGCCCACCTCCATACTCATCATATCACCTACCTACACACGCCCTAATGAGGAAAGTCATGATGGAAATGGGACGTGGACAAAGGAGGAAGAAAATGTAAAAATCACCGAGAGGATTACACAAATCTCCAATGACTAAAACAACCCTACGGTACGATATGAAGGTGCAAGGCCAGAGCAACGATGAGATCTTGGACGCCATTTGTATTTCGGAGTTAATGAGAATATCAAGGGCTCGGGCGCGTGGTGGCCGAGGCTGAGGAGGAATTTGCACTAAGGCGTTCATACAGAGGGTTTCTGGACGTTCAGACTCGGCATGATTCAACACATAGGTGAAGTCTGAGGTGGTCCTGTCATTTAGGTGGGACGAGGCACTTGTACTTCGCGGTACTTAACCTGATCCGGCCCGGCCCCACCTGTGCTTCAGCTCCAGTAAGAGTACAAAGGGAATCACTATACCTAACACGTTATTAAAGAAAAAATGCCCGCGTACCGATTACCTACCGGCCAACTGCAACATTTACAATACCCCGGTGAATTCTGTGCAGGCTACTGAAGAAGTTAATGTTGAGCGGAGAAGATTGTAAGGGCCTGTGGCTATTGGGCACATATTATATCACTTGGTGAAGCGAGAGGGAAAATGAGAGAGTCTGTAAATCTGTCGTGAAGAGTTTTCTGATTGGATTTCATTCGGTCCATTCAGGCACCCTATGGGCCCATGCAGGTTTATCGAGCTATAACATTTGCACAGGAACAACCCAAATTCGGCAAAACCCCCCAAAACTATCTATGTCGTATCCATTGTTTTTCCGAGGATTCCTACAGGAATTGCGTTTACACTGTTCATCCAGTGTCAATTCCGTCCTATCCCTGTCCACATTGTCTCATCTTTTCGTCCAATGCAATTTCTACCTCTCCTGCGAGCCGGAATGGTTCAAACCAGCCTTTTTCCAGGATCCATTTTGGTGATTCTCTCCATATCATCTGGACTGTTTATCACTGCCATAAAAGACCTATCTTTTGCCTTACGAAGCACCTCTCCTCTTGCCCGCTAAGGACACATCAAAACCATATTCTTGACGTTTCGTGACGGATATCCACACAAACATTTTGGATCACTCACTCCGGGGACTTTCCTTCGGTACTGTTAGACATTGAGGGTCAAATGAAAAATGTTAAGTAAGCTTGTATTGATGAGATTTCTGCTCCTCAACTCCTCTCCGGCCTTGATGCTATATACCCATCTGAAACGATTTCCGGGAGAGAATATCTTCTCCTCGTTTCCCAAAATTACATCTGAAATATATTGCATGTGTTTGAGATCAAAAGATCTCAAGTTAGAGCTTTGAATATCCTTAACATGCTAAACATCCCGATCAACATATCCCTGGTGAAATATCAAAGCTCGAGTAAGTTAACGCGAGATGACGTGTTATTCCAATATCTAATGATTCTCATTACTATATTCTGTAGGTTCCAAACTATCAGATATTTGACAGATACAGATAAGAATTGAGACCAATGTGCTCACTTATCTGAACTGCAATACTGCTTTAGGCCCTGCTAAGGTTCTGGTGGACATTTGAGGGTGTGTTACTATGGGCAATCCTTTTTCTGCCTGTTGTCTCATCTATAATAGGAGGACTACTCTCAATACCTGTCAGTGGTGTCCCCCACGAACCTCCTATTCTCACTGTAGAGTCTGCAGAGCCGAGATTGAGTAATAAAGTCCTCACTTCGGGGGGACTCCCAATCGCTTTCAACTGATACGGAGATTGTGGATTGGACCGAGTCGACCTCGAATGCTACAGAGAAGGGAGATGTAGATGAATATGCGCACCTCATGTGGTCCCGGTGTCTAGGCCTCGCCTGGCTGGGGCTGCAGGTTTTTGGAGACTTTTTCCCGCGCACGCAGTTTCCATTGCTACCATGTTTTTTTAGGATAGAAAGTTCCGTGAAAAAGATGGCCTAATTCCACAGGTAAACACTGAGCTAAATGGATATTCATCACGGGCAATATATCAATGATTTTACAATTAACAAAAGAGGAAAGGAGCACTGTACAAGGTGTGGCCTGGGTCGGAAAGGGGCCCAATGTGCTAGACACTCCAAGACTCCAGTAGTACAATAAACATACCTCTCTCTCAATCGTCAAGGTTCCCAATAAGATTTTGTGTGCGTTCAAGTTTTTCGAACGAATAATATAGAAGCGCTTTTTCACGGATCCGTAATTAGAATTTTAATACTAATATTAATTCGTGATAAGATGAAGGGGTAGTAATTAAAACATCAATTTAATAATAGCTTCCCCTATACAATTAGTCGCGTAAAAAGTCATGTAAGGATATACAAGAGAGTCATGAAGAGAAGGACAAGAACACAGTCATTAATGCGAAGATATTGGCAAGAATTGATTACGATTAATTCCGGTTGGCAAAGGCTTCTACTCCTGTATATAATAGTTCGGCGTGAGAGAGATTTACTCCTCACACAACGTCTTCTTTACTTATCCTTAACAATACATTTGTTTACCCATCTCTTCTTCGGGAAGACCATATATCCATTGCCCAGTTCTTCATCAGCAAGACCCACGTGTAACATCTACAACAACAAGTTGCCCATTCATCTCTTCCTAGAGAAGACCTGTCATCCCTTTGACCCATTTGTTATCTTCACTTAGCACCTAGATCTTCACTAGGCTATACAACGCACCTCGTGGAACACTATCAAACCCTCATCCTTGAGACGCTTGAAGCTACCAAATAGATACATGAGCAGTTGTATGGCGAAAGCACAAAAAGTATATTAATTAACTCACCTCTCCGGCCAACGTAACGATGGCCATTTAAGGGTGTGTAGCTGCAGGGAAAAGTCTCAAAAACCACTGGCTGCGGGGCTCTCCTATGACGAAGAGGCCGGCCAGCCGGGCGCAGCAGACCTGTGTATACCTAAGAGCGTCTCTCAACCTTCCTAGCCTCCTCCTTACTCCTCCCTGATTCATGCCGCAGGACAAATCGTAGGTCGTGAAAGGATGTCAGAAACGTCTTGGTCGAGAGTGACTATCGTAAAGGAGCCTAGCCTAGCATCCAAAAGTCGTTTCGGACATGGGGTTGTCGAGTAACTCATGTTTTTCAGATGCCCTCCTGGCAAGTAGATTCGGAATTTATGATTAGTAGGGACGATAATGTAGACAAGTCGAAATCTGCTTTTCTTGAGGGCGGAAGGGCCTTTTACTGTGCTTTCGTGGTCTTTTTGTTCGCCCGCCGGTGGAAATTACATGTTGTGATACAACGAGGGCTTCTCTGACTACCGTTGTAGCGTTTGGTACCGCATTATCTCTCCTCATTCCTAGCATCATTATCTTCGTCTTGGTCGTCTTATGAGTTATCGGAAGCGTATCTTTGACGGAGGGGAAGATAACTCAGCTCAGAGTTGAAAAGGTCTTACTCAATCTCGGCTCTGCAGACCCTACAGTGAGAGCTGGAGGTTCGTAGGGGACACCACTGACAGGTGTTGAGGTTCGTCCCCCAATTTCAGTTTAAGACTAAATTGAACATTTAGGTTATTTTTGCCGACAGGCCACAGATACTTATCTATCAGTATATCCCCTTTTTGGCTCAAATACAGCTCCCCTCAAACAGTACCACTCCTCACAAGTTCTCATTCCATTATACACTTGAAGGAGCCCTTTCCCCCTCATCATCTCCCCTCTTCAGACAACTTAACGATGGCCAATTGTGGGTGTATTGCAGTCGGGAAAAGTCGCAAAAACCACCGGGTGCGGGGCTCTTCTAGTAGTGACATTAGGACTAAATACGATGATATAGTGATTCTTCTGAAGCGTTCGAAGAGGCTGACTAGCTGGGCGTTGCAGACTTGTTTGTTTGTTCATTAACGTGCTAGGTGAAGTAACTACCGTCGCACTCCTACTGGAGCTTGAGCACGAGTGGGGTCGGGCCGGATCAGGTTAACTACCGTGCAGTACAAATGCCTCGTCCCACCTAAATGACCGGAACCATGCCAAAATGCACCTATGTGTTGAACCATGACGAATTCGGCAGCCCAGAATTGAAAACAAAACAAAAACTTTCCCGCGAAATCCCGCATTACAAAAGAAAAAACTTTGACAATCTCCCTTCCATCGTTCCGCCTCGGCCACCACGCGCCCGAGCCTCGATTCCTATCCCTACTTCCATGCCAGATCACCTAGGCGTTGCAGACTTGCAGGTACCAAAGTAAATTTTATGTCTGCCGTTCTAGTCTCCTTGCATTTCTTCCTGTCAGTCGTGCTGAAATAGAAAAGTCTTGAGAGAGCGTGTCTGCTATGTGATAGCTTATTCCAACTTCATTATAGAGTCAGTGGAACTGGGGAGTGCCGTAGACTCACCGAGAATATGTCTTCCTAGCGTACTGGCCGGAACTTTGGTCTTAGCAGCTTTTGTGATATCTAGGAGTAAGAGAAAATTAAAAGACTTTAATTTATTTAAAATGAAGCCATTTGAAATATATGTTTACGTAAAGACCCAGAAATAGATATCAACAATTAAAAAATAGACTTTTCAGTGCTGTAGGGCAAGCTACTACTTTGGTTAAGAATTCGTGACTCGGCGTCCAGAGGCTTCATATCTCATCTGAAGTAACTACAGTAATAGAACTTGAGAAGTAGTAATTATAGTCTGAATAAACGACTAAATTTAGATTCATTGTGCTAGGTTTACAATCGACTTGCATTTCATAAGACCTTTGAAACTCCATAACTCTAGAAGAAACATAGGTACCCCAAATCATGGTACTTTTCCTCAAAGTCCTGCAGAAAAACGTTCGAGTTAAAATCAATCATCTAATTTTACATATTTCCATACAGCCTATTCTATTTAAGACACTAGTGCAGGGCGTTTATGCATAGTAAAGAGGTTCGTCAAATACATGATATCGGTGTCCTCTTACTCCCTCGCCTCGGAACATCTGCGGGAAGCGCATGCCCTCAGGCACTTGGTCTTCACTTATTCTCCTGTTACGAACATCTGGGTCGTCGCTTGGTGCCTCACCGACTAGAAACTTTCCAACCTGGAGCTCAGTATCAGTTATAGTACTTCTGCTAACTCGTGCGTAGGCAGTTCTCTTCAGTCCCTTGTAAAGAATATATTCGCACCATCTATCCCAGTCTGAGGGATCTATATCATGCATGCCACTTATTTCCGAAACATAATTGTTGTAATTTCCTTGTAATGGTTTGATGACAAGATATGAAAGTAAGATTGCTGGTCGTGGTGATGCACCCATAAGTTTAGAGAGATATTCGCTCTGCAATTTCCTGTCTTCAACATCTTCTTCCTGTCCTGAGTGGAAAACAAAGACGTCAATCATCTCGCCATACACGTCAAGTGTTGCCTCAATTGCGGGTGCTAATTCTCCAACAGGTGAAGGTAGTAAGTGATGCGTCGAGTTTACGATAGGAAACTTTGATAGTAACGCAGAGCCCCATGTGTGTTTGTTAGGTCCTGGTCCATAGTCCACATACATCCCTAAATCTTCGGCTAAGAATTGAGTTGTGTCCCGGTTACCCATAATAATTCGCTGCAAGTCACTTTCAAGTAAGCCAATGACATCTATTTCGAGCTCTTTGATTAGGTCACGCATGCGATACTCAGAAGACCACATATCATTGTCCAGAGAAAAATGAATGGTCCAGATACCGGCAGTAATGATTTTATCGTCTTTATGATATGGCGCGTAGTCAAAAGTTGGAAATCGTAAAAATGCGACTGAAATGCTTGCAAGTTGTATTATTCCAAGAATATATAGATGGAGAACAGAACTCTTGTGTCGGTTTACGTTGTTTCTGCCCCGTTTTTGCTGGGGTTTGGCCGCTGATGCCTTACTAGCGAAAATACCACAGCCAATAAATAACATTGTTGTAACCATGATCCAGTCGGTATGTTCTCTTACCAATGGTCCACCTGGGACGAATGCATATGCTACAACCCAAACGTGAAATAGAACAAGAAAGTTGTACAAAAGAAATCCAAGCCCAAAGGTAGTTGCTGGTGATTTCCCAGACGCTGAGCTGATGAATGGGATTGAAATTGCCATCAAATAGACAGCAAGAATTAAGGCACCATAGAAACCTTTCCAATTACTGTATAGAGTCAAGGTTAGAGCACCTAGACATCCAAACACATATAGAGTCCAACTACGCGCTAGACTTTCATTTTTGAGGCCCAAAATCAACCCGACGCCCATTGCAGCGATGGTCCAGGCACCATGTGGTGCAGCAATTGGACCTCTGATTGGGTACCCTTCCCACACCCAAGATATCATTGTGCTAGAGTCCGAGAGTAATGAATGCATGCCGAACAACATCCCACCGATTCCGAAGCCAGCCAAAACGGGATAATTTTTTTTGTTTCTTTGAAATTCATTTGATATTCCGGGCGTGTCTGGCAATGAGCGAGTGGAACAGAATACAGCTAGGATAGCAAGAAATAGTCCCAATCCATTCCATCCTCCATTAGAAGAGTGTGATGTTGGCCATATAGGATTACTCGTCTTCCAGGCGAATTTAATGGTACTGTGTACTATAAGCCCCATAGCCCAAGAAAGTTTCTTTGATTCGAGTTGTTTTGGGTGAGCGCTTAATGAATTCCAGGTTGCCGACCAAGATAAACACGACATCCATACCGCAAAGCTGACGGTGAATAGTCTGTAAACTGGATTAGATATTCGATATGCAGCTAGCCCACTCAGTGACAATAAATGACATAATCGGATATTTTTCACGACAAGAGACCGTATTAAAGGTACGCCCAATAAGAACGGCGAAATAGTCGACATGACCATTGCTTCATACCCTGAAATTCCCATATGCCATAATGGAAAATCTAAACTGTCAGTGTTTTATATGACAGTTTATACTTCGTACTTACACCAGATAAGGAGTCCCAAAGAGGTTAACATCGACCAGAATACAAACTAAAATAGGTCAGGGTAAGGAACCTGAATTTAAGATAGATGCATACTCCATTGTATACATCAGCTAGTGCTCCAATTGCAGCTCCCCAGGTAAAGCCTTGCCCAATTGCTGAACTAGTCTTCGTTGAGCTTCTAATTCTAATTTAGTTCTTGTAAACAGTTTATCGGGGATTCACCAACTCTTTTTCCACAATAGTGGTCGAGCCTGCTGCATTGGTTCTGGACACGAGAATTTAGAAAATTTATTTTGGTATATTTTATCGTAAAGATTAAGGTACAAAGTCTACTTGGGGAGCCAATGTACATACCGCTTACTAGACCCCTTGTCGTCTCTTACAATCAGGGAGAATGTTTCGAAATCTAGAGCAGTGACAGCGTCAAAGCCAACGTCGAACAAAATAAGAGACCATTCGAAGAATGCATAGATGGTGTAAGCTATATTATTTTGGTTAGAAATTTTCGGCGGATATTAGAGAAAACTAACCTCCCGCAACCTTATGAACTTTGTGTTGTATGAAGAAATATACCATGGGTATGAGGGTGCCAAAAAAAGCTCCGGCAAAGTACTTTCGATATTTGATTGCTCGAGCGTTGCTTGCAGGGCTCAGGGCTATACAACCGAGTGTCCAAGGAATAGTTGCTATTAAGTATGATATCATAAAAATATCATGCCAGCCATGATTATCAGTTGATGTAACATATGTCCAGCCGCCACACGTCAGCGTTCGGAATGCGCCCATAAGCGCCACAAATTTTGGCAACATAGCATTGGGTCGGGCAGTAAGCAGGTACCATAAACCGACTAAAGCGAATCTAGGACCTAGGATTCCGTCAATATTTGTTCCCGTAAGCCTAAGGTAGTATTTTTAGTTACCTGAAGTAATAGCTATAAATACCATGAAAAATGATCTTTCTGGATATCTATCACCAATCGTTGCAGACACGGAAGGAAACCATTCATCGGGGTAGCCGTAGTACTCATTTTGAACAATCTTCTCGTAGTGCAGGAAAATTCCAACGAATAGTGCACTGAGAAAGGCAGCTGCGTTGATTAGCCAGCAAATCAAAAAGATAATAATGTTAACAAACAGTATGCAATAATAGTGTGAGTCCATGAGACCCATTTTCCGGAAAATTCGATTATGTTCCCTCCATCTCTATACTTCGTGGCCATTCCAGCCGCTGGAGAAGATTGGTCAGATGAAAGATGTATTGTGTCAGGTTGTAGCGTCTCAACTAACGTTGATTGACCATTGATTAAGATGGGAAAAAGATAATGTCGAATCGGTAGAAGGCTGAATATGGCAACAAGGTATAAGTTGAAGCTTGCAATATGTGATTGGCTAACAAAGCTCTAAATTATGTAAGTATGGCGTTTGATCAGGATAAGTTGTGATGCGCTAGAACAAGGTTAGTGTAAATTTCATACATAAAAACTACAATTAAATTACAGGAAATCGTTGTGAATACACTGGATTATGTCCTGGCTGCTGCTGCTGACCAAAAATTGTGATAATACTGTTCTGTGAAACATAGTTAACGCTGATTCCGAAGTCCTAGAGAGAGAGGTATGTTTATTGTACTACTTGAGTCTTAGACTATCTAGCACATTGGTCTCCTTTCTGACCCAGGCCACACCTTGTACAGTGCTCCTTTCCTCTTTTGTTAGCTGTAAAATCATTGATATATTGCCCGCGATGAATATCCATTTAGCTCAGTGTTTACCTGTGGAATTAGGCCATCTTTTTCACGGAACTTTCTATCCTAAAAAAACATGGTAGCAATGGAAACTGCGTGTGCGGGAAAAAGTCTCCAAAAACCTGCAGCCCCAGCCAGGCGAGGCCTAGACACCGGGACCACATGAGGTGCGCATATTCATCTACATCTCCCTTCTCTGTAGCATTCGAGACCGACTTAATCCAATCTGCCATCGCCGTATCGGGTGCTGGGTAGGCTCCGGGAACTCATTGGATGGCTTTTCCTCCATGATCAAGAGTTGGTGACGAGAAGGGTTTCGACCCTACTATCTGATCTGATCGTGGTTAGCTTCATGGTAATGGTAATAGGTAAATGTGTTAAGAGATGAAGACGATACAGATCGCGAAAGCGATTGGGAATCCTCGTCAAAGTGAGGATTTTGTTACTCAATCTCGGCTCTGTATGCTCTGCAGTGAGAGCTGAAGGTTCGCAGGGGACACCACTGATAGGTGTTGAGAAAATCCCCCCTCCTAAGTCCTAGAAATCATCTTGTTATACACAGTTAAGTTAGAGACAGTGTCGGTTCTTGTCGCATCCGTGTTGGGCCTGATGAATCCTTCTTGAATGAAAGATGACGGGGTTTTAACCAAAATATGTAGTGACGTAAATAAGTACTCATTAGACACTACTCTTACAGTCTTGCAACTATAATTCCATAGATTATCCCACTAAAGCAACTAATCGTGTGGTTATCTAGCGTCATCTCCTGCTAGTATGTTTACAATTCAGTGCCCAAAGAATACATCACAATTTATAGCTTATATTTAAGAGACATGTGTTCACAAGGTGAAAAGTTAGCTTACACAATTATTTACCAGATGTTGTCCGACGTAGTCTGGCTAAGAATGATAGAACTTACACAAGGCAAATAACCAAGGAGGGTGTTACTGACGAAGAAATAAGAACAAATAAAATTAAACAAGAATACGCCAAAGAAATAAAACTAGGATATGGTTATCATCCAGAATAATCGCTATTCCTCAGCTTCGGTACGACTATTAAGAGGCCGAATTTGTGGAGAAGTGTCTGCACTTAATACAGTTACCTTCTAGGGTATCTCGAAACTGTTAGCAACCATCAGAAGGCTGTCACTAACTTCAAGATCTTTAGAAGTAGGTGCTGCGTGCATTTTCACCTTTTGTATACCACTTCAGTTCCTATCAAAAATGTTGGAGACCAGTTTATGTTTAGATACCAAATTACAGCTGGAATAGATAAATATCCTTTCTGATGACGAAGGCACGTATTCCAGGCCTGGTAATTAATAGAATACGATGGCTACATGATGGAAAGGAGCATCAGCGATCGAAGAAAAACGGTCGCAATCGAGGTTCAATTGTGGTAAGCTTCCCATCGGAGGCAATGCAAACGGAGGTAGTTCGACAGGGCCTTGTTATTAACGCCATGCTCTTCACCGCGCAGGTGTGGTCGCCACGGGCTCAGCCAAAGCAGTGTTACAACTGCAGCCAATGGGGACACACGCAGGCGTCGTGTGGAAAGGCAGCGAGGTGCGGTGAGTGCGCTGGCGCTCACCAAATTCGGGACTGTCCGAGGAAAAGGGTTTCTTGTGCCAACTGCGGCAAGGAACATCGTTCATGGCAGAAAGCAGCGTGTCGGACCTACCAGGTTTACAAGGGTAGTGTGGAGAAGGCACGGATGGAGCTGTTATCGAGAACGGCAGATAATTGGAATGAAAAACCAACAATGGCGCCAACACAAACAGTCAGACCAACTGATGATCAGGGATTTACTTTGGTCACCAGTAAAAAGGCTGAAGGACTCAAAAGAGGGCCAGAACGACCACGTAAGGTAGTCGAAGCCCCAGTGGCAGCAATCATCGCCTCGACAGTAGCACCACCATCGGGGCCAACTCTTCGAACACTTCGAAGACCAACGCCGAGTGAGGAGGTGCCTTCTCTTTTCAATTTTTCATAACAATGGTCTGATTGAAGGGGGAGTTAATGAATTTCGAGGAAAGTTTACATAATTGCGGTTGAAAGGAACGTCCTCAGCATTAAGCCGGGTCGGTTCAAAGTGGCAGGACATCGGGTTTTGTTTGTTGAAAGCTTTTTCCCTTACCAAAGCGGCTTACCGTCTTCATGGTTCTGTATATAGATACCGCATAGGACGTTAAACGAGACTAATTCAATTCATCCTTTCTGATCTGCAGTCAAGATATTGCCCAAACCCACGATAAGTCCTTGACAGCTATCGGGTAACCTTGGAGGAGCTACTCCAATAATTTAAGACAACTGCAAATATAGCTCCGCTACTGAGTTTTATAAGCGTCTAAACTCATGATCGGGCCCGAATTATGTCGTGTCACCGATTAATTAGATCTCTTGCACTTACAACCGCTTATTCTTTAACTATTTAGTGTAGTATTAGGCTCAGTTCTATGTATCATGAAAATTTACTTTCGGCTTATTCTAAGCTATCACCTTGTAGGAGGGAGCTAGTAGGATCAGCTTTGGGACTGTGGCGTGTGTTTCTATGAGAGGACATATCTAAAATTTCAAGGGGGACAATGTTATGTGTACGATGGCCTGAGAGCCTATCATAATTTAACAAAAAAGTAGTTTCTGTCGGGATACTCGGGTGGTTTTTACATCACACGCTCTCTTTATAGCTGTAATAACAATTGGTACTTAACATGTATCTTGATTCTATCCTGGGCACTTGCTTCGGCGGAGGGAGTTGATGCATTCAATAATTGGGTGCGTGTCACAGATTTCTTCGAAAGGGCACAACGAACAGTCTGATTCGAACGAAATCACGATCTGATGTAAACAATCTTCTCCTTTTATTTTTTATTTTGGTTTGTAAAATCTTTTCTTGATTTAGCACCAACGGCATAGCATGAGATTCGTTGGACGGACGACCTTCATGCACACTATAATCTTCGAGCGTAGGATGATATTTTATTTATCTTTCTTTAACGTCTGGCGGATCACGCGTCAAGCGAGTAACCCTATTTAGTCCCTACTGAGACAAAAGACGCCGCGTAGGATGATAAAATCCTAGCTATTGTTTGCTTTGGTGGGTCTGAGAGGGCGCCAACACGTCGGGTAGTTTAATTTAGACTCGGCTAACCGGCACGTGAGGAACTCACGTGCTGTGCGCGGGCACGACGTTAAATATTATAAATAAATGAATGTATCTTGATTCTTTTCTCACTAGCAAAAGGAAACACGTAAAAACAGCATTATCCCTCTCTCCCAACTCCATTCCTAAATAGGTAACTCATTACTCATCAAAATAATTAGTAATCATTTCTAAGTTAATAAATGAAAGGTCCTTAATTTAAAATGTTTATTGTCGTGCCCGTCGCTGGTATATATGGATGACGAAGGCGTGCTTGGACAACCAAAAGTTTTGAAAGGTCCCTTTGGTGGGTACTTACGGAGGAGGGTCGACTGTTTGTGTAAGCAAGCATACCTCATCGTGGTATTTGCGAATGAAACCCAGAGTATAAGTGTCTCTTACAATAAAAAAGTCATCCTACATGTATAAATAGCACCGGTCATGTGTCCTAGCTCTACAGCTGAATACACATTAAATAATTAAAAAAAAGTCGTGCCCGCGCACAGCACGTGAGCTCCTCACGTGCCGGTTAGCCCAGTCTATATTAAACTACGCCAAGTGTTGGCGCGGGTGTCTTTTGTCTCAGTAGGGACTTAATAGGGTTACTCGCTTGACGCGTGATCCGCCAGACGTTAAATAAAGATAAATAAAGTGTTGGCGCCAGCAAAGACCCAACATAGCAAATAAAAACCAGCATCCTATTATCCTGCGCTCGAAATTAAATTTACCTGAATATCGGCCCCCCCGTTGTCTCTCATGATTTACAGATGTTATTCAATGGAGAATACAAAGCAAAGAGATAAAATCGGCAAAGAGGGAAATTAGTTACATCACTTCAAAGCTCTATAGCTTTTATTACATGACCAGCTACTAAATGCATGAACTCCCTCCGCTAAAGCAAGAGCCCAAGATATGATGCGATCGAAGATCTGAGACCTGTAGAGCTGTACCTAGTACTACCCGAGGTGGCAATAGAAAAAGTGGTCGGGGGACTTCTCTTCTCCGCATGGGCAGGTTAGGATGGCGTTTTCGTGCTGAAAGCGTCGGTGGTCGTCTGCAGAATCACCATGTCCAGATCGTGCAGCTAAAAGATATCCCAGTGTGCGTGCCGTAGACGAGCGAGTTGAAAGGTCATCAAGTCAATAGGTCATTCTACAATTTCGTTAGTGTGATCAGTAAGTTGCCGGTATAATCGCCTAGAACGCTCTGCAGATGTGGGATAGTCAACAAGAATTGTGTCTGTAAGAAAGTCGAAAATAAGCACAAGTATATCTATGATCGACGACTTCTCATCAATGTCGGTCTTTTGATTATCACACGAGTCCTCTACCTCAATTCTGCTACACAAAACCTCGCCTCGACGACCAATAAAGGCACTACTTCAACCGCAAATAGGAGCTTGCCTCGTTAAA